TTTTTTTTTTTTTTTTTTTTTTTTTTTTTTTTTTTGTCTTTTTGTCTTTTTTCCGTGTCCGGCTACGGATCGCAACCCTCAGTGTTGCCCGCAAGCCTCCGCGTTGCTCCCGCGCCTCGCTCAGCCAGTGAGCGGGAGCCGGTCTGTACGTGGGATCCGAACCCTCGGACGGGAGCGCTGCCGCGCTTCCCAAGCGGCGCACTATCCAGTGCGCCACCGGGCCGGCCCTTAGTTTCTTCATATATAAAATGGAAATGAAAATATCCCCTTGCAGGGTTGCTGGGGGTATAAAAGGAGATAATGGCAGCAAAGCAACTTTCCTTTTTCAGTATTCCTGGAACCATTTCCATAAAGCTAGAAAAAAAGCAGCTGCCGTTTAAGATGTTTTAATTTTCCCTAGGGACAATATATTCAAATGTTTTACTAATTTTATGCTTCTTTCTAAAGTTCTGAGACCTTGCCTGTTTTCTCCTTTTTTAGAGGTAAGGTCAATACAAGAAGAGTAATTTACTGAGGGTCAGGCAATCAAGTCTAAGTCTGGCACTGGGACTAACAGCTCTCATCTCTCACACCAGTGTTCTGTCCAGCAGACCCAAACCATTATATATTGGGTTTTCTAGGTCTAAAGTACACATGCTTCCCAAAAGATATAATAATGTGATAGAAAAGCAAGTGAAATAAAACAACAGGTGAGGGTTTTTACATGATCAATTGAGCTCTTTATTCTCTTTTAAAAGGGGGCATCAAAGCTTATACAAAAATGAAAACACATGTTTATGTTTTCTCCTGTTATTTTCAAATACTACCTCTAAGATCTATGCAATCTTTATGGCAAATCTGTGACTTTTACTAAAAACTGAGGTGAGATTGAAAGGCAACCAATATCTGTTGCATACTTTCTATGAGCCAAATGCTCATAGTTATCATTTAGACTTTCCAACGATCAGTTCTATGAGTTGTATGTTATTTTCCCCTTCCTTCCCTGAGGAAACTTGGGCTCACAATGTGTACCTGACAATTGATTAATTGATTCTTCAGGCAGCACATCTTCCTGGCAACACCACCACCAGGGCTCTGGAGTCAAACATTACTTTTCTTTATTTTGAATCCTTTTTCCCAAATAAAACCCTAATATAATAATAATAATACTACCTTGCACTTTTAAAACAATTACTATATGCTAGGCACTATTCTAAGCACTGTACATGTATTAACTCATGTAACTAAACTGTTTGTATTTTCTAACTATATTTTAAAAGTTACTTAAAAAATAAGTATTAAGAATAAAGTAGAAATTGTATTTTTAAATCTCACTTTTGTTCTAGGCTCCATTTTTTTTTCCCAAACGCTGCCCAGCCCACTCTGCTCCACATCAGCTAGGGACCAGATTGCAGATGAAATGGAGGCTGGGGGAGGGACGATGGATGTAGGAGTCATCCTGGGAGCCGAAGACAGAAAGAGGCATTTCTTGAAAGAAGTGGAAAAGTTCAGTAACTACAGGAAAAGATGTAGCTCCTCCCTAGCAATCAGAGAAAGACGAATAGCATTTTTCCCTCTGGGATAATCAACAACAGAAAAGACTGACAGGGCCAAATGTGCAAAGAAGGGAGCGGGGACCGAGCAGAGGGAGGGCCCACTTCTGCCGCGCTTTTGGTGGGAGTGGAAATTGGGGACCCGAGCTCATTGGTGACATAGATCTCATGTGACCAGGGGTAGACGTGTGCAGAAGTCCTGCTAGTCTGGTCCTCGTTCCCGTCTGGGTACTACCTTCCTTGAGCAGTGCAGGCGGCTGTGCCGGAGGCCAGTGGAAGGGAAAGGAATCAACTTGCCTGAATTTTGCAGGTTGGTGTCAACTTAGGTATTGCCTGGGGATTTCTAGTGTCGGGTTGGTTTAGTACAGAGACTTGAAGGAGTTTCAGGCAAGTCCGTCTCTCCACCCCCAGGTCCTCCAGGTCTACAGGAAATGATGACCCTTGGCAAAGGGACTAGAGTTCCCGGGAGAAGGACAAGGAGACCTGTGACAGTTTAAAAATAATCATTCTCTGCCATCTCAGGCCACTTTCTGACACCCATCCTTCCCCAAACCCGGCCACAGCCTTAAAGATAGTTTGGAAATAATTTGCTTTTCCCAATCCCTGTCTGATGGAAAAGATGGTCTAACTTGCACTGTGGAGAGAGGGAGAACTGGGGAAACAAAAGGTGGGAAACTTTCCATAACGGAGACCCTAAATGAAGAAAGCTGTGCGTGTCGGGACTCTAGTGCTGGTCAGCCACCAAGCGCACGCCCCACCCCCACCATCGCCTCCCATTTCCCATTTGTCTGCAGATCTGTTGTTCTTAGCACGATCCAAGGCCAGGAAAAGAGGACGACGAAACTAACCGGATCGGTACCCGGTAGGTGAAAGGAACATTATAAAGACTCGGGGTGGAGGAGTTTGAAGGCGGGACAGAGGTTGTAGGCTCCACTGTTTCTCCCCGCTCCCGCTATCCTCTTTCCCCCCTTCCCTCCTTTCCTTCCTGCCAGCCAGCCAGCCTGCTCTGTTCTAACACAGAGTGCTAACGCAGGGCCCGTCGGAGAGAAACGGTTGGGGAGGGCAGGGAGGAGAAAGGACGGCCTTGGAAAATGCTGGAGGGAGGGACAAGAGAGATGAGGAGGTGGAAAGTGGAGATAAGAGGCGGGGTCAGGGAAGCCCTGATTGTTGACTGGACTTCTCAGGCGGAAGATTCTGAATTTAAAAAAGCAAATGCTGAAACCTCTGGCCAGAGCATCTGTCCATTCACCAAGCCTTTGATTTACTGTCTCCTTCTTTCTTCGTAGATGTAATTGCATTTAAAGAGGAATAAGCAGGAAAAAAAAAAAAGAAAAGAAAAGAAAAAGAAGAATAGAAGGAAGGAAGGGAGACAGATACAAGATGAAACCCTGTCAAAAAATTGAAGAAAAACCAGAAAATGAAAGCGAACCAAAGCTTGAGGAAGAGCCAAAGCCTGAGGAAAAGCCAGAGAAGGAGGAAGAACCAGAGGAGGAGGAAAAAGCAAAAGGAACTTTTAGAGAAATGTTGATCCAGTCCCTCCAGGAATTTAAAGAAGATATACACAACAGGCATTTAAGCAATGAAGATATGTTTAGAGAAGTGGATGAAACAGATGAGATAAGAAGAGTAAGAAACAAACTCATAGTGATGCGTTGGAAGGTTAATCGAAACCACCCTTACCCCTATTTAATGTAGTATGCCTTGATTTTTATTTTATCTAATATTAACATTGCCATATAACTTTCTTTTTATTAGCACTTGTTTGATATACCTTTGTCCATCTTTTGACTTTTAACCTGTTTCTGTTAGTGGTTTTATATGCATATCTTCTTATCTGCACCTCATTGTTTATCGTTTTTTGAACTGATCTACAAGTCTCTTTCTTTTAATAGGAGAGATTTACTCATTTGCAAAAAGAGGTTCCTGATAGGATATAAAATGGAAAAAGGTCACTAAGTAATATGTGAATATCATGTTTTTGAAAGGTAAGAGTACATTTGTATATTACATATATGCACATCAAAACTTGTGAAGGCTGAAAGACAAAAGCTACAGTTCCTCAGTGGTGGAACTATAATCTTTTTCTTCTGCTTGTTTGTATTTTCTATATTCCTAAAGTGAACACACATTATTGTTGCTAAAAATAATAAAAGCTTTATGACAAGAAAAGAAGCAACCAACAGTATTTATCAGTTTATTTCTAAAAATACTGGGGCAATTAATACTTGTTGACAAAATTTTATAAGCAAATGGGAACTTCAGAGTACCACCAGACCACTTAGCTAGAAGAGTAAATTTTACATCTCAAAGAGGTCTTATGAGGGCCAGATAAGGTAATGACTGTGAGCTATGTTTGACAGGGTGTTGTCCCCATCTGCCCATGCAGGATCCCAACTCTCTAGAGGTTTGTTTCAGCTATTTTATTTGGGAGAGTGAACAGAATGGTTCTCATTTGTGCTTAAGGACAAATCCATGCAACTGTTATGTTCCTCTCCTGCTGTGCTTACCCAGCCTCCCATCCCCCTGATCTTGATACTACCATTTATACTGGGTATTCCTGTCCCTCTGCTAGGTCCTGCACCCCCCTATGTGCTAGAATTCTCAAGTAGTGAAGCCCAACATATTTTTCGGAACCTCCAGTGGGCGGAGTCCCCAGACCTCTACAGAAATGGGGAGACTGCCCATCTCTTCAATTTAGATAGATACTCATGCAGTGCCACTTGGGCCATGATGTTTTATAGAGATATTGACAATGGGATTTTAACCTCTTCCCCATAAAGCTCAGACAAGAGGGTGCAACTGGGGGTTGGGCCAGAAGACAAGTCTGAGTAACAGACACTATGCTTTAGTCATGCTGTCCTGGGTCTGAAGATTACCATTTTATCTTTCTGACTCCTATTTCCTTAGGATGAGTGATCTCTCCCAGAAGACTAGTGGGAGACTGGTCCTTCTCACCAGTTCAACAGATACACCTCTACTTGTGCAAATTTTAAAGGGAGATTTAAGTCAGATTTGGGGATATTCCCATCCCTGGTTAAAAATACATAAAAGTGCTATGTAAGATTTATTACATATCTATATCTACATCCAAATCTACATGTTTATATATGGCTCACAGTTGTGCCAGTCATGTGCCATTTTCCTCTATGATGCTTTTTGTAGAGCGATTCATATCGCCAGACAGTTCTTCAAAGTTGTGGCAGCCTGATGGATGCTGATCAGATTGGAATTCTTGCTGGAGTGAGATAAGGTTCCAGGGGCTCACTGTGCCAGTTTTACAACACAGGATAAATCCATCCCCCTGGCGCTCAGAGAGGTGACATTCAGGCCTGATGTGGAAGGGCTCACCCAGGCCATACTCCTCTCCAGTGAGTTTGGTTTCTGCGCTCCAGCCTACAGCAGGAACCAGGCCCTCTCGGGCTGATGGACAGGCTCTCCTGGACAGAAATGCCTGGAAGAAGACGACTGTCCCATTGCATGTCAGAGCACTAGACATGTTCCCTCCTTTTTTCACTCACAAGCGGGCTTGATGAAGATTTTTTCATAAGGAAGAAGATAAAGACCTCAAAATTTACTAATGGAAACATTAGTTCTGGTAGTCTTTGTCCCAGACGTGACTGCTCTGGATGTAATCAGATAACCTGGTGGTAGGAGAAAATGATTTTAGATAGTACATAAATATTTTAAGTTGCAATATCTCTGTATTTATTTAAATGTGTATTAATGAATACTCTCTGTTTAAAGCACATGATGATAGTTTAGATTTAGGGTGGTGTTATAAAATTTCCTATTCAAAAAAGTATTCAAACTAAGTGAGTCTATTTGAAGAACATTAAGTAAAACACGATATTAATAGCATAGTTGGTACACAGATATGGCAAAAATCATCCTGGTGGAAAACATTGCCCTAGCATAATTGCTTTGGGGATAATCTGTGGAAACACCTGTCAAGAACTGTACAGAGTTTGAGGTTTTACCCTACTTATAAGCTAAGAAGTTAGCCTGCTACTATCTAATGGATGCTGGCAGAAGACACTAGACTTTTGGGTCAGAGATGAAGGATGTTATTACTCACAGCAAAAGCAGTGGTCAGAGTTTCACGTTGGTCTCTATCAGTTCCCTATGATCCTCAAGTCTCATGGAGTGACACAGGGCCCATGATAGATGCCTGAACGTGCAGTGCACTGCATTACAGGAAGGAAAACCTGAGTTTAGGGGACTCACTGCTTTAACAGTAAGCAGAAACAAACCTGTTCTGTGTCCACAGAAACACATTACCCCATCGCTTAAGATTGCTTGCTGCAAACAAAACTTCGGAAAATGGTCTTCCTAGGTTAGGAGTGGACAGAGCCTTATGCTCTTGTCATACCCAATAAGAATATGTGGGAATCCTCATAGCCCATAGCAGATTGCCTCTCTAAGTAACAGTTTTCTCTATAAAATAAATCTTAATGTTAATAGCAAGCCTTTCCTAACACCACAAATTTTATTTATAATTCAAAATTAAATACAGTATATAATGCATTATACTGTAGGGTATAAATAAAGCAATAATAATTATTTCTAGTTTTTACTTAAGTACAGAGGATTTTGAATAAATCCTAAGTTGATGAAAAAAGCATCAACTAAGAAACTAAAGATAAACAGTCTTTGAGGAACTTTAAAATTACAGTAAGACATAGCTACTATGACACCACAAAATAAAAGAAGTAGAAGTGCAAAGCCAATGGATTCATCAGGATGCTAATAATAGGAGTAATCTTATGGAAATTTTTCACTAGGAAAATGACAGGAGAGCATGTGTTTGACGATCATCCCCAGATCCTATAAAGACATAATTGCCACAGCCTCTGTAAAAAGCAAAGCTAGGAGAAAAGCTAGCTTGTTCTCTCTGAAAGAAAAGTTCAAGGTAGGGTAAGGGTGGAGAGAGGGGGGCCTCACATACGTAACAGTATCCAAAAGCAGTCACTTGCTATTTTGACACCGGAGTTTTGCAAAAGCCTTAGCAAAAACAGCTGCATCACGTGACAGATAATTTAGTTAGTTATGGAGCATCTTTTCATATGCTTATTCATATATCTTACCTCAAGAAATGTCTATTCCAATCTTTTGTCCGCACCCTCATTAATATTTTCAGTATAGTATGGGTAAAGTAGCTATTTAAAGAGCTAAGGTAAATCCATATATACTACATGTTCACCATACATTATTAAAAGAAAAATGAAGGACAGAAGGTACGGTAAAATACACACAGATACACACACAGAGACACACACCTACATACACATATCCACAAATATCAAGATAAAGCCCTTTAGTTCGCCAAAGGGTGGGATCATTTCTGTTTAAATGGCACTTTGGTATCTCACCAGGCCCCTGCCATTTGGTCATTTAAGAAATAATAATTATTTTTTTAAAAAATTCCTAATGGGTAATTCTATTGTCTTTACATTGTAACTGAAAAATAGATTTTGGACTTACACAGAGTTCTTTTCTTCCATGAATCCTGAATTCTTTTCCACATGCTATATAATTAACCTATTTTTTATTACATGTGAAGAATCCACAGTTCTTCAACTTAGTATGTTTTAAGGAGAGCTAGATTAAAATGTTCTCACTTTACAAAACTTATGAAACCTAAGCAATTACAATATTTTATGAAAAAAAATTTTAAGAAACCCATAATCCCACCAACATAGGACACCTGATATTTAATGTTGCTTATTCTCATTCAGTCTTTAATTTTATTATTATTATGAATATTCATGAGATACAAATTATCAGAAATTGCTTTTATATCCCCTGTCCCCACCCAATTGTCCCCCAACCACCCTCCCCCCCCCCCCCCCCCCCCC